AGATGGCCGTTCCGGTGTGTGGCGTTCAGTGAGGCTCAGTCTGAAGGGAAGCTGTGCTGATGGAGGTGATAGTGGAGCTTGGTGCCTACAGAGGCTGAGTACACCCTGTGCATTAAGGCAGGACGGATGTGGGTCAGATATAAGGAAAGCTTCTTGGAAAACAGAAATGGCCCAAAGCCCTGCACCAGTGACAGCAACAGGCCAGGGAGAAGGTGCGGCCTTGTGTCTCGGGTGCGTTTGCACTGTTCTCACCCCAGGCTGGCCTGGATCATCTTGTGATCCTCTCAAAACACCCCCAGGGAGCTGAGGACAGAAGCCCCACTAATGTTCAGAGAATCAGACAGCAGAAGCGCCCTCATTGTCCATCTCTTTTCACACACAGGAAATAATCATTTGTGCTGGGAAGGTGCTTTAAACTCTGGAGTGAGAGGTGGGAAATCAAGCAACCAAATGAGGGAACATTATCACAGGGATTCTGAAAATCCTCATCCTTATTGTCCCAAAAGCTATTAGGTTCTCCTAGAACCCCATACTTCTTGTCACTGAGCTGCTTTCCTCCCAACTCAAGCACCCTTTAGACTGCCATGTTCCCTGCCAAATCCTCAGAGTCTCTATTGAGGGTGAAGCAAATCAGACTCAAGGGTGAGGCCACATAGCTTTATGGCTCCTACTTCATTTTCTTCAGCTGTAAAATGTGAGCAGTAAGGTAACTACCTGCTGAGGTGGCCCTGCAGAATTAATAAGATAGACATGAAATGGGCTTACCACAGTGCCTGAGACACAGTAAGAATGAGAAACACTTGGGTGTTGTTATCAATTCATCGACAAGTTTATTTAGCACCTCATAATGTGCTAATTATTCTGAGAGGCATAAGCCAAGACCTTCATGGCCAAAATGAAGTAGAAAATTTAAGCAAGGGCAAATCTTTATTAAGTACCTAGTCTACTTTTTGGCCCAAATGGTCCACATTAACATTATTCTCCCCTAGAACTGGTCAGTCTCACATAAGTCTTAGCCTCATGGAGATGGCACCCGTAGGATGAGACCTGGTAACTGAGCCCTATGTGAAGTCACACAATTGTTAGTTTCTGTCTGTGCATGACACTTAGTCTAATTTATTACTGCAAAATCTCTTAACTAGTTGAGCCCATCAGACAGCCTTCAAGTCCAGCCCAGGGAATATAGAATCCCTACACCAAATGCCAATGAGGCTCAAAGAAAGGTATGACACTGGCCTCCAGCCACACCTCACAGAGAGAGATTTCCTTCCTTCTTTCCTTTCCTTTCTATTCTGTCAAAACTTTTCCTTAAGAATCAAAATACTACCAAAAAGCTGGAAAGGTAGGGTTAAATACACTCACATGTACCGCTTATGTCAGCTTAACTGGATTGGCAGTAAGTCCTTCCAATAAATCCTTACATTGTTGTTTAAGGGGCTCCCTATGTAATGCAGGCTGGCCTGGCGCTCTTGATGTAGCCCAAGCTGGTCTTGAACTCTCTATCCTCCTGCCTCAGCCTCCCAAATGCTGGAATCACAGGCATGTGCCACCACACCTGGCTAACATTTTACTTTTTATTTGATGTAATTATAAATTCACACGCAAAATAAGAACTAATACAGAAAGATCCTAATTTCCTTCTTGCGTAACCATAGCACCTTTCACTATCAAAAAAAAATCCACCAACTTTGTTCAGGTTTCATTACTTTTACACGCATGTGTGTGTGTGTGCATATGTGTGTCTAGTTCTATGCAATTGTATCACATATGTAGACTCATGTAATCACTATTATAGTCAAAGTACAGAACAGTTCCTCCCTCCTCCATTTCACCCGTAAACCACTAATCTATTCTCTATCTCTATGATTTTTGTCATTTCAAGAATGTTATATAAATAACATTGTATAGGGGCCGGGGATTTAGCTCAGTGGTTCCGCCGCCGGCCTTGCAAGCAGAAGGATCTGAGTTTGATCCCCGGTACCAAAAATAAATAAATAAAATAACACTGTATAGTATATAATCCTTTGAGATTGGTTTTTCTTTCAGCATAATTCTCTCGTGACATATCTGAGTTGTTGAGTATATCAATAGTTCATTTCTTTTTATTGCTAAGACATAGTCCATGATATACAAAGTGTGATCAAAGAATAAGGTGAATATTTGAATTTTTAAAATGTATTACAGTAAAAGACACATTGCCATTAATCCACCTCAAAATACACCCGCTCACTTCAAACTCACTTATCTCACCATTCTTGCCACCTCTTGAAGTAGTTCTGGAGTCCTCTTTAATGAGTGTTCTTAGTTACACTGCTGTGGCTGCCTCTATGTCCTGAATCAATTCAAAACATTTACCTTTCATGATCATTTTGACTTTGGAGAACAGCCAGAAGTTGCACGGTGCCAGATCTGTTGAGTAAAGTGGATAAGGACACACTGTAACATTTTTATGAGTCTGCCTTTCCCTTGGATGGTATTCAGCAATATCACTCACCATATTTTTTATCACACCTCATAAAGACATTCACAAAAGAGGACTTTCAGAACTGCTTCAGAGATGGCAAAAACAATGGGATAAAAGTGTTCAAATCAAGGGGGAGTATTTTCAGGGGGATTAATGGTAATGTGTCTTTTATTGTAACAACTTTTTATTTAAGCATTCACAGTGTATTTCAGTCTCCTTGTAGATACACTACAGAAGCTTTATCCACTCACCTGTTGAACTATATTTGGGTTATTTCCAGTTTGGGGCTATTAGAAATAAAGCTGCTTTGAACATTGATGGACAAGTGTTTGTGTGAACATGCATTTTTATTTCTCTGGGATAAATGCCCAAAAGTACAATTGCTGAGTCATATAGTAAGCACATATTTAGTTTTATAAGAAACAGCTGGCATGGTGGTGCATACCTGTAATCCCAGGACTCAGGAGGCTGAGACAGGAGGATAACTGTGAGTTCAAGGCCAGCCTGAACTACATAGGGAGATCCTGTCTGAAAAAGAGAGAAAGAAGGAAAGAAGGAAAGAAAGAAAGAAAGAAAGAAAGAAAGAAAGAAAGAAAGAAAGAAAGAAAGAAAAAGAGTCATACTATTTCCCAGAGTGGTGGTGCTATTTTACATTCCCACCAGCAATGTATGAGTGATCTAGTTTTCAGTTTCTCACCAGCATTTAGGATTATCGCTAATTTTTGTTGGATATGTAGTGATTCCTCATAGTGGTTTGAATTTGCGTTTCCCTAATGCCTAATGGCACTGAGCATCTTCTCATGGTGTTTCTTTGCCATCTGCAGATCCTCTTCAGTGAAATGTTTGCACATGTCTTTTGTCCAGGTTCTGATTAGGTTGCTTATAACCAGTTAGTTTTGAGAGTTCTTTGTGTATTCTAGATACAAGTCTTTTGTCAAATAGGTAGTTTGCAAATATTGTCTTATAGTCAATAGTCTTTTTATCCTCTTCACAGGGTCTGATAAAGAGCAAACATTTTAAATTTGACGAGGCCCAATTCCTCGTTTTCCATTTCTAGATCATATTTTTGCTGTCAATCTAAGACCTCTTTGCCTAACCCAAGATCTGGAAGATTTGCTTGTTTTTGTTTTACCTAAAAGTGTTACAGTTTTGGTACCTTACACTTAGGGATTTTTTCCATTTTGAGTTGTTTTTTTTTATATAACACATAAGGTTTAAATCAAGCTTCAGTTCTTTTTTTAATGGATGTCCAATTGTTCAAGAATCATTTGAACAACTCCTGTTGAAAAGTAGTTTGGTTTTATTTATCACAAGCCTTAAGAATGTCTACAGCTTCACTTCTGGGAATTCATTCTAAGGAAAATGCAGTGACAGGTGAGGGGGACAGCTATAAGCTTAGAAAATTGTCACTGAAACATTCTTTTAATAAAAGTGGAAGTAATCTAAATGCCCAATAATATGGGACATTTAGTATGGCACACATATGAAATGATATATAACAATTAAAAATATATTCACTTAATAATTTTCACCCATTCAACAAATATTTATTCCATATTCATGTGTGTTGGTACTGAAAATAACATAGTGAGCAAATCAGACATTACCCCTGCCTTCTAAAAGCTCTCAATGTAGAAGAGAGAAAACAATTCATTTAGATAGATACATTTGATAAACTAAAGTGAAAAACAGGAACAATATTGTATGTAGAAGGTTATTGAAAGTAGGTTAAAAATATGTATATGAAAAAAAAGCCTTTTAGAGTGGCTGAACCAAAGATAGTTTTTTTGCACCCTCTTCTATACTGTTTTTTAATGAAAAGAACACACCAAAGGGTAAATTTCAATTGCAACGTAGCTTCTTGCCATGTTACAGCTAGGAATGTTGCTGTGAAAAGGAACAGGAATACATGTAACAATCTAAAGGGGGCAGAAACAGATACCAGTGGCCAGCTGAGTCTTGCAGGATTACCAAGTCAGTCAGCAAGTATCAATGGAGAGCCTGCAAGGTAACCTGCATCACACAAGGCACTGAGGACAGGAGTTTAAGAATAGACAGTCCCTGACCTTGTGGGACACATATGGGAAACTCTGATCTCAGTCTCCTCATGCTTATGCAGTACTTCACACTCTGCAGCATGCCACTGTGTACGTCCCCTCATATGATCCCCTTAATGAACTTGTAAAGTTGTTAGGGAGAATGTAATTATCCCCAAATTGTTAGGCACTAAGCCACAGAGAGCTTAAACAACTTGCCCACGGTCACACAGATAATAAATGGCAGGCCCTGGGCTCCCACCTCTAAGGCCCGTTCTCAGAATTCCACGATGGCCTCAAGAACAGGTGTGACAGCAGTGGATTCGAAGCAAGCAAAGAATCAGCAGAGGGCTGTGATGAGAATTTCAATCCTGTGGATGAGAGAGCATGTGCCCATGGCGGGAATGGGCTCCTTTCCCTGGCTGTGGCTGGCTTGGGGGTCTGGGAAGTGAGGGAAATGTGGTGCGACACCCGGGCTTACCTCTCCGCCCTCTCCCCAGATGGTGAAGGCAATCCAGGTGCTGAGGATCCACCTGCTGGAGTTGGAGAAAGTCAATGAACTCTGCAAGGACTTTTGCAACCGTTATATCACCTGCCTCAAAACCAAGATGCACAGTGATAACTTGCTCAGGAATGACCTCGGGGGACCCTACTCCCCCAACCAGCCCTCTATAAACCTTCACTCACAGGTAACACACAGGGCTGGGTCCTCTCTCCTTAAGCCAGGTGTGCAGATAGGTTGGAGAGTCCCCTGGTGACCTAGGAAAAGGGATAAACTTATTGGATGCTTTTACCTGTGATCCACTCCTTTGTCCATCAGTGCAGCCTCACCTACCAGGGATCAGTGTTCCTTAAACAATGACCGGATATTAGAGGGACAATTCCTGACTTCCTGATCCAAGATGTCCTAAGAAATGAATGAGCTCCCACACTAAGAAGATAGGGTACTTGCTCAGTGGAGGAGCTGAGGGTTGGCCTAGACCTTCTGGCCAACAGGCTTCTCTCTGGAAGGCTTGACTCGTAAGCTGTCTGCATTCCTGGAAAGGAGGTTTAGGTCCTTCCTCAAATCCTGCCCTCTTAGTGATGAAGACACTTCCACAGGATTGTTCTTCCTTAGTCATTCTCTAGATGCTCACCCTACCCTGGCACCTCTGTCCCCCTAAGGTTCCAGGCCATTGTAAATGTGATCTCAGTCCACCCCTTCCAAGATTGACCTGCCACCTCCTCCTAGGCACTGGAGATGAGGAAATGGTGGCCAAGAACTATGGGAAAGAATGCCCCCTTCTCACCAGGGCAGAATGTTTTCCTCAAACCAATAAATTAAGAAAGTTGCTGATTATACCTTCATACCACATTCGCTGGCATCTACACATGCTGTGGGCTCACTTTTCCCCGAGTTCCTAAGCTCAGAGCACTTACAGAGGCCCCCAGGAAGCTCACAGAAGTCTTAGACAATCAAGTGAGGGGCTGCAAGGAGACTTTCTGAGGATGAATGGAGAGAGGTCGCAAGAAGAGTGCTGAAGGTAGCTGTGCCATTCTTGTCCCTAGAAGGTCTATCAGGACCTCCAGGCTGTTAGGGAAGAGGAGGGGCAGGCGGACCTCAAGCAGGCCAGATCGCCCACTGTGACAACAAGCCCTGAAAATCCATTCAGTATCACATCAAACCCACCCCAGTGGGATCTCTGTTGGACTTGGGAGTGAGTAGTGTATAGGACACAGGGCAAGAACTTTATTTCCTCCTCCTATTGCCTGAAATCACCAAATCACTTTATTACAGATCAAAAGACAGCAGCCCAGGCTTCTGCTTGCTAATATTCTCTTGAAATAGACTCATTCCTTCAGAGCCTTATTGTGCTTTCCCTTATGATCAAAATTAGCAAGAAACTTGCATAAAAGAGGACAATAATTGCTCAATGAGCATCTCGTTTGTAATTTATTAGTTTCTATTATTGTGAGTTACCATGGTGACGCTGCACAGCCTCAGTGACGGGAGAGATGTAAGATAGGAGCTGAGGAGGCTGTGAGCCCTCACCAAATGGAGATGCACATTTTTATCAGTAATTTTCATGAAAATAATAAGTGAGGAGTTAATGAGATGGAAAGCCATCCTGTGGCTATTGTGAATTTTTTTTAAGTGTTGATCTAATTAGAATGCATCGGTCAGGAAAAGTAATGAGGATTTAGTGCCTCACAGAGATGTGAGGATCATATCAGAAAATTAGCACAAGTCTTTGGAAATAATCAGGTCCTTGGAGAGGCCCTGGATTTCCCCTCCTGGGCCCTCTGACTCTACCTTGAGCTCTGGACTTGGGGATATGCTATGATGGAGGAGGGAGGAAGGAGGTGCGGAGCACTTTGCAAGCCACCGTGGCCCCTCACGGTTGGGGGTCCGAGGCTGACAAGCAAGGCTGCAAGAAGCAGGTCACTTGAGGAGTGGGGTTTGCAGAGAAGGAGAACATGGGCTCTGGGTGATCATGGTCTTAGAAATGCTTCCGGCAAGAATCAGCCCTCCTGAGGGATGGTGGCACTTAGCAGGCACCTCTGAGTTTTCAGGAAAGAGGGAGGAACTTTGGTTCCTAGCACTGGGAGTGTAATATCTCCGCCAGAAGGCGAGGCTAGTTCTGGTGTTGTCCCTGCAGAAACATCTCTGATCCTCAGCGAAAATGGAACTCAGACAATTGAATGGAGAACAGACACTGTGGAAGAGGGAAAAAGATACTTAGCAAGCCGTCCCTACTTGATATCACTCAAACTTGTCCCCTCATACCCTCTGACTGCTGCCTCTCCTGCCTCTCCTGCACTCAGGCTTCAGTGGGTTAATATGGTAGTGGCGCTCAGGTCGCTGCGGGAGCTTTCTGAGCTGCTGCCTGTCTTTCCAGCCACAACCTTGCCCCTCTCAGCTCCTTCGGTTGGATGCATCTTCCTAAAGCTCTCGCTAGGTCTTCTGCTCACAGATCCTAGTGGCATCTGGAGCTTTCACAACTGCCCACCTGACACTCACAGCCCTCCTAGGTCCATCCTGGCCTCCCCATCCTGAGCCAGTCAAGCTGCTGAACTTGCTGTAACTGTTGCTCTGCACCTTCTGTCTGGGGGACACCTCCCCAGCCACCTCTGTTCAGGCCCAAACCAGCCCCTTCCCAAGGGCAGTAACAAGACTTCTCTCCCAGAGCAGCCTCCCTGATCTCCCATCCAGAGTGACTTCCTTCTCTCAACCAGGTCAGAACCACTAAGCCATTGTTATGGCAAGCACAGCATATGATTAGATGGCAGGCATTTATATCAGTCTCATTTTCCTCTCCTAGATAGCACAGGTTTTTGGAGTTTGAGACAGTATTTTTTGTATTTGAAGTCACTAAATCACTTTATTATGAACCTAAAAACAGTTGTCCAGGCTTCTGCTTGCTAATATCCTCTTAAAATAGACACGTTCCTTCAGTTTTATTGTACCTTCCCTGAGGGTTCCAGCTATGGTCACACGGTCTTGGATGTGATGAGTGGCCATTTCAACTTTCTTATTGAAAGAAGTAATGCAGTGAGAGAGAGAGAGAGAAGCTGGGCGTGGTAGTGCTTGCCTGTAATCCAAGCACTCAGGAGGCTGAGGGAGGAGGATTGCCTCGAGTTAGGGCCCAGCCTGGGTTATATAGTAAGTTCAAAGCCATCCTGAACTACAAACCATGACCTTGTCTCAAAAAACAATCCAAAAAGAAAAAAAAGAAAAGAAAAAACTGAGAGAGAAAAGAAAGTAGGAAAGAAAAAGTAGAAAGAAAGGAGAGAGAAAAGAGAAAGTAGAAAGAGAAAGGGAATGAAAAGAAATATAGAGGGTCAGCTCAGAAGGGAGTCAGAGATGGGCTAAAGTATGGGAGAAAAAGAACAATGCAGAGAAGGAAACAGGAAGAGACACAGATGGAGGGAAAGGGAGGTGATGCTGAGGATGACAGGCAGAAAGAGAATGGAAAGAGGAATGGCAGCAACAGTGCGACAGAGACAGAGAGGGCTCCTCAACGCAAGGTCCAGGGTACTTGAGGGACATGGTGAGGAGGTTGTCCCCATCCAGTTCCCAGGTCAGGCTTGTGTCTCTGAGGCAGGGCGGAGGCATGCATGGGCTCTTCTGGGAAGGAGACCCTGGGCTGCCAAGGACCAGGACCGGGGAGCCAGTATGGGGGGGGGGGAGTGCCCAAGCATGTGGGTGCATGTGCATTCATTATGCCCCGGCCTTAATCCCCCCATCCTGAAATAGCTGCCCCGAGTGCCAGCCTGGCCTGGGGAGGGGTGTGTCCCCTCTGGAACATGATCCCTGGGATCAACATCTTGGCTGCCTGCCCGCTTTGTTGCAAAATGCTGCCTCATGGTTTTCCCTGTGTGCTAATCATCCAGCCTGTGTTGCAGAGAGGGAGACATTTTTGTTTTCCAGTTGGTGGCCCCACTGCCCGGTGCCATGCTGTATCCTTCCACCGGTTCTGTGATGTTTGGGCCTATTCCCATTTGGCCTTCCCTTTCTCTCTGTGGGTGTTCTCTGTGGGGGTGGAACAGAGGTGGGAATGGGGGAGGGGTGAGACTATTTCTACCAAGCAGAACTAAGAGTTTCCAGGACTTAGCTTTCAGCACAGCTAGTTCTTTCCAGCTCCCTAGGAAGCCATCCTGCCCTGTCTGTAGCCAATAACACCCAGGCTTCTTGCAGGGGTGGCCTCCTCAGTATAGACAGTCATTCCAGACTCTGACTCTGGGTCCCCTGTCCTTCCTACAGGGCATGACCTAAACCATTCCACTAGAGAGAGCCTAACCTAGCTCCTCCTCACTTACTCAGGCACTACCTGACCTGAAGTCCGTCTCCCTTTCTCCATGGTGCTTTTGTCCTAGCTCTGTTACCGGCAGATCAGAACAAACCACCACTCTCATTCGCGCACTTGGGGACCCTTCCTGTGTGCACTATGCTAGGTCTGCTGAGGACATGGGTGAATCCAGGACAAGCTCCTAATCCCTTGGGAAGGAACCACACATCACACCTGAGGATCTGGTAAATCAAGTCAGCCATGGAACATGAGACTGAGAGCTCTGAGAAAGGGCAGGAAAGAACCTCAGATGAGTCAGGAGAGGAGCTGCAGGGACTAAGCCACTTATATGGCTGAGGCTGCCCTGCCCATCCTTCTTCCTCCCCCGTGGAGAGGCCAGCCTGAGGCTTGGCACGCACACCTTCCTGGCCAGGTCTGTTTCTGCCCAGAGACAGGATGGACGAAGTTCAGTGTGGACTAGATTGGCCAGCAGGAGGATTTTGCCCAATGTGGTGGGAAAAGCTGCAGATTCACCACCCTTGGGAGGACTTCCTGGGAGAGGAGGCCTTTCAGGAGGCTTAGTGGAACTTACACCCTATTGGGATCTCTAAAATGAGTGTTTCCAGTGCAGAAAGAAGTCCAGGAGAAGGTAGGGAACAGCCTTCTGGAATCACTAGGGAAAAGAAGACAGCAGAGGGTGGAACAGTCATTCACTTGTGCGTCTGCAGCCACTGGAGCACTTACAAAGCCTGCTGAGCTCAGAGGACATAAAATGGATATGACCCAGTCCATGAGCTCAGAATATAACAATGGAGTATCTGGCAGCCAAATTTATGAAGGGGCTCTATTCTTCACTGATCGTGGTGGCCAGTTGCTAAAGATATTAAAGGAAGTGGAGAATGTAGGCCAAGGGGTCAGGG